ACCCTTACCCAACCCTAACCCGCTGTCGCTGCCGCTCCCGATCTCGCTGCTCGTCGCTCCTGCACCCGCTGCTGCTGCTCGTCGCTGTCGCTGCTCACGCCTCCCGCGAGCCTTCCCGCTGCTCGTGACTCCCGCGAGCCCTCCCGCTGCTCGTGCCTCCCGCTCCCTTTCCCTTTCCCGCTGCCGCTCGCCGCTGCTTCCTCGTTTCTCCGTCAAGCTCAGTATACAGTATACTCTTAATATTAAGTTTATTTGAATTTTGAAATGATTAATTTTCAATAATGTTAATAGATTAATAATATATTATTTTGATTTTAATGTTGTTAATTTTTATTTTGATGTAAAATTTTATTGTTTTGAATTTTGAAACTTTTTGTTAATGTGACATTATGATTTTGTATCTTAGATTTTCTTAATTTAATAGCATATTTTTATTTAAAATTTTAAATAATTATATTTATTAATTATATTATATATTTTTATATTTTAGCACCTCGCTTCACTCGGGCGAGTGCCTAGCGCCTCGGGCGTTTTTGGACCTTGGCGCCTTTTGGCGCCTAGCGCTTTTTAAATCACTGCTCGTATATTCCCAAACAATACAGATTCAAGTCCGCGGATGAAGGAGATCTCGCGTTCTCCTCTCTAGCGGTGATCCATATGGCTGATGAAGCAGTGACACACCTCCGTTTGTAGCATGTGCTTTTCCTCGCTTTTGCGCACAACAAGGCATTAGCAATTCAAGAAGGGGTCAATCCTTCTTGTTGTCCTCACACCCCAAATAGGGTTGATGGCAATGGAGGAAAGGACCAAAGGAGTCTAGCCTATAAGCCTTTGGTCCCTCTCTTATTTATAGAAAGGCCTCTCAAGTTAACCCTGATGGATCCTTTCTTTTGAGTTTTGGATCTTCATCTAATAACCCCTTTGCTTAATGGATATTGGATCTCCATCTAATAATCATTCTAAGCCCTATTGGGTCTCACCCAAAAGATTTAGTAAAACAGGAGCTTATTAGACATCATATGTCCAATCCTCTATTCGTCGCGTCACCTATCATATGTGTGTGACCCTCTAGGTCCAATACCGAGCTGGTTGTGAGTTGCACCTGCTAGAACTCTTTCTGACTCAGTGAATTATTATCCTCATAATAATTCATTTAATTTATCTTCTATAGATATACTAGGCCACTACGCCATAGTCCCCAAACGGTACAGGAGGATCTAATCCATTGGACATGTTTGCCCTCAATTACCGTGTATCTATGGTCCCTCATCCATCTAATATCTCAAAGATCGTATACTGGGTATGGCGCTGTCAGGCCCATATGAAATCAATTCGAGTCTCATTCTAATCGGATTCTCTTAGAGAACTCTTTTTCTCTCAATCCGAATCTCACACTTATTGAATTCATCATAATCCGATCAACTCTCGCCAAGGATTTGCCTGAGTGAGAACATACGAGATATTCTTCTCATGAAATCGAGAGTGAATGATCCTCTATTAACACTTAATTGCCTTCGTAAAGTTGGCTATCACTCCCGATGATCGACTGTGCTAGATCTAGAACTTTCAAACCTATAAGTCCAGTGTCAAAGAGTGCAGTACTCATACAGGCCATCCTTTGTATCTCAAGTCTAAGAACCAAACACGTAATTAAGATTATAGAATTGTTGTACGACGATAAGATATCATTAAGTGGATCATTTAATAAACTCATTCTCCAATGAACACCCGTATTATATCTCTAGTGTTCCCACATAAGAAACTATGATCAATTGTCTCATCATATGGGCGAGTGTATAGCACACTAGTTTGTCCGGTTATCTCGATATTGCTCTCAAGTAACCTATAATTAGGATATTTAGGGTTTGTGTTTATAGACGAATTGATCTCATTATCATGATCTCATCATGATCTAATTCCCAGCACATATCCATCACAATATATATTCATCATTAATATAAAGTGATAAAATTCCATAATAATAATAACAAAAAAGATTGTGCAGTGTTACACGTGTCATCACTCACGTGATTGGTTTGTAATGCACTTGTAACTAGCAGAGGCAAGGGTTTAAAAACCCTTTTTAATGGTTTAAACGATTAATTTGACCATTTGAAATAGGGTGATCTTAGCCATTGATTGGTAATGATCGAAATTTAATCATTATCGCTAGATACAGACCTCATATCACTCGATACGGGATCAGATTATGGTATCGCCCAATAGAGGGCAGTCCACGTATCGATCCCTTGTTGGACCGATATTTACTGCCCGTACAGAAGGGTACATGTTGCTCGTTTTGTATCGGTCCATGCAAAATGGAAGTTTATGCTATATATAACTAAAATTAGATTGAGATAATTTAAATTTGATTGGATCATGGTTCAGAAATACTTTAAATCAGCCTGATTTTGGTTCCTGTCGAATTAGGCCAACAGGTTTGCATATGCTTGGCTACTCAAATTACATCGAGTTATGGGTCCTTAGGCATGCCTAATCATAAGCCATTGGTCACAACAACTGAGTTGCAAGATACTACAGCATCGCATTGAGCTGTGTGGTTGATGGCTCAATGCTAGGCCTTTGCGTTCACGGTGTAGGTCAAGTTGGACCTCAATTGAATCCAATCCATACTAGATCAAAATCCAAATTGAGCTAGGATCTACTCAAACTAGACTAAATAATCATCCCTCACCATTAAATTTGATTTTTTTTCAATTAATCTATAATATGAAGACATTAATACTATTAAATATGGTTTAAAGACATAAAAAATTTTAAATAGGATGTATAAAATTTTAGAATAATACTAACAACAATAATAATCTAATTAAAAAATATAAAGACATGAATATCATTAAAATATCAAATAAAGTTTCTAAATTTGTAGATCTTGATTCAATCAATTAAATTACTATTAATTTATAATCTAAATTAATATGTGAAGACATGAACATCATGAAATTTCTTAAAATGGCTTTATTAGCTTTTATGGAATGATACAAGACTTAGAAAATCAATTGAATCTAAAATATGCTTTAATTTTTCTTTGCATTAAAATCTAAAATTTATCAATATCAGGAATTCATGGAATATTAAATAATTAGAATATCAATCAAATATATTTTAAGATTTATATTAAGAAAAAAAAGTTTGAGATGGTATTGTTTTCCTAGGGCAATGACTTCTATTAAAACCTTCTCACAATCAATCCCCAACCTAACCAAGATAAATGAAAATGAAGGAGTTCACCTAAGAAAGGATACTAATAAGCTATGAAATTTATTTTTAATTTTATTTTTATTTTAATTAAAATAATTAAGTTCTTCCTTATTCAGGTGTTCAAGGTAGATATATATATTAATTGTTGTATTAAAATTTTGTTACAAGGGCATGTAGATTAGGAAGTAGATAATAATATTTTGATTAAGAATGAAAATAAAGATGATCATATTTTTCTTCCTGGAAGAATTTGGTCTCCAAATTTGATTTACCTTAAAGAGAAAGATGTTGATACTTCTGTTCATCATCCTCTTTATTTATCTAAATGGAATCTTTATATATATATATGGTGTTTGTTAACAAATTTTCACAAAATGTATCATCCTATTTCTTAGAACATCCTCTTTTGTTTTTAGAATTTAGATTGGATGCTCTTAGAGGACAACATCATTCAACTATGAGGGTCAATATAAGAAGATATAAAGATAAATCCACAATATGCCTTTTGAATATTGACATATAAAACATATCATGTGTTGTGTTAATGTTTTGAAAGTGTATTTTGGATCCATCCCATGTCTTTTCATGCTAACCTCTATACCTCCTATTTGGAGCAATCAGTCTAGATTTTAGAAAAGAAGGAGTATTTTCTAAGAAAAAAAATGATACCTTTAGTAAAATTTTGTTGGCAACACCACAAAGACAAACAAACCACTTGAAAAGTAAAGATGATGTTAAAGAAATGATCTATATGTTTTTTATTTAGGGTAAATCAAATTTAGGGATCAAATTCCTTGAGGATGAGAAAAATAATTCTTAATAAAATATGCCTATATACTTTTTAATTTGCATGCGCTTGTCAAAAAATTTATTTCAACAATTAAACATTCAAACAAGGAATAATTTGATTATTTTTACACATGATAAAAATGAAAATAAGATGTAAGTTTTTATAGTTTATATGTTATTAGAGATCCTCCTCATTCTTTTTATAAACAAGGTAAACTTCTTCCTTTTCATCCATCTTGACTAGGAGGGAATTCACTTGAGGGAGGTCATCAACCTAAGTAAATGGTGGGTTTTCCCCTTTTTTCCCTTAATTTAATTTTTAAATTATATTTTATTGATATTTTAATTATTTAATATTCCATATATCCTGATATTAATCCATTTTACATTTTTAATGTAAAAAATCCTGATATTAATCCTTTTCATCCATAAATCCTATTTAAAGATTTTCGTCTGTTCAAACCTTTTTTTAATAATGTCAATATCTTCATGTTATGGATTAATTGAAAAACCTCATATTTAATTGTGGCTGTTGGGTTCCATCTGGGTTGACCTTGGCTCAATTTGGTTTTGGCTAGGATTTGATCTGACTTGGGTCAGACCAATTTGGGGCAGACCAGACCCAACTTGGGTTAGGTCAAACCGGCTTTCAGTGGGGGCCGATGCTCCGCATTGCCCAAAGACCCAGTTAGACCTACTGGCTCACAACCAGCATGACCCATCTTGTGTAGACCTATCGATCTAGTGCGATTGAACTTGAACCGGGCCCTTCTAGTTGGTTTAGGTCAGTCTTGGGTAATTCTAATATATCGATTTTGGCCAGTTCAAGTTGATTCAGATTGTTTTGAGACCAATTCAATCTGGTTCTATCAGGATCTAGATAATTTCAGTTCAGTTCAAAGTTCAAGCCAGATTTGAGTGTTTTCTAGATTGGTTCAAGCTGGATTTGGATGATTCCAGACTGATTCAAACTGGTTCAGCTCAAATTTAAATTGGTTCAGTTGGGGCATCATGCCAAACATTGGGCTAGTGGGCGTGGTGCCCCTCTACCTTTTGGTATAGTGAATTTAAAGCAATTTCTTTAGTGGTGTATGATGAAATATTGTGATTTGATCGAAGTTAATTTTATAATATGACTTTTTTACTATGTAATGTGTACATAAGGTTATTGTGTGGATCCAAGTTGGATGAGCAATCCCTGAAAGGAGCTACGAGTCTATCATGATGCAGACGATTGGATCCGGTCTCTCATACCACATACCAAACATGGTCTATCATTTTTTATACATATTAAAATTTTTTCTTGGCTGCACAGAATCACAATGAATGAATACATATTGGGTCCACCCTCCCTCTACTCTGGCATTGACATGAGATGCTTCTGAGACTTTCTATACAACAACATGCCCAAGAGTGCTAATCAAGATTTAGGTGGATAGGCATTAGCAGGAAGCTAAGAGATGAGTATGGATGAGGAAGGCAATTAGAGCAAAGATATTGGTTCTAGGTTTTAATTAGTATGATATGATCAACAGGTTCTACTCGGACAGGCTAGTTTTAAAGCTGTTGTTACCTGGTTTAACTCTTACCCACACAAATTACGGGACTGGAGTGATGTGAGTCTGGTTCCCAGTTCTTCTAGTTGGACTGGACAGTCTGCTCAGGTTCTAAAAATTATTTGTTTTATCTACTGACACTATTGGCCTTTCTTAACATGCTTATTTTATGCATGATAAAACTGTGAAAGCTATGTAAGTTTAATTATTTGTAAATTCAACATTGAATGTCATGATAAATAGAATAACTACTCACTCTAGGGCACCATAATATGTCATTGCTAAATTCACTGTCACAGGTTAAACTAGTGCAAAAGATCTGCTATGGATACACTATTTATTATCATATTATATTTGCCCTTTTTTTATTTTCACCACTAATAATGTGTTTAGTTTATTTGACTGATCCCTCAGTAGCAAATGCGGTGCAGTTTTGTGCTTGTTCTTGGTTAATCCGTACATGATTCTGTCGTTGACTCGGATGATTGTAAAACTTTGTGGACCTTTTTTCAGGATTGATCCTCGTCATTTTGTTCAGTCCTAAAAGTTTTGAGTACTATGTCATGGGATACTGCTGTATGTTAATGTGGGTGGCGGCTGCAACTAATGATAGCTGCAATGAAGTCTCCTGTTGAGGATACTAAACTTTGTGCTGCTTTAGTGAACAGATTAGTCTTCCAAGAATCTCGTGCATGCATTTGAATGCAACTATTTGGTGCATGCAGCAATAGTTGATTTTCTACTTATATGCTTGTTTTCTTTTCTCGTATCTTTCATGCATAGCTTTTCCATATTTTTGTCTTTATACATGACTTAGCACTAGGTTTACTACTCTAAAAATGACATGGTAGCTAAAGCATCATCAGTTAGACTGTTAGACAAGAAGGGAAAATATGCTTGCTTTTTGGCCCATATTAATATGTCATATCTGTGCTTTTCAATGTGCATTATATCAAGGCTCAAAAGAATTTGATGAGTAATGATTGATTTTGTTCATAATAATTAAATTTGTGATCTAACATTTTGACTTTATCTGAAGCCGATTACTCTTGCGCTAGTGTATGTCGGTACTACTTTCAAGGATCTAGCTGATGTGACACATAGATGGAATGAGGTTTCATCTACTCATTGGGTAAGCCTTTGCTACTTTTGATCACCCATATATCTTCTTTTAAATGATCATGAATCAAGTCTTCTTATGGTAACTGGAATGTGTTCATCACTAGGTGTCAGCTTCCAAAATGTAATTCCTATTTTGGCTTTCTTTTTAATCTGACTTCCTGAATTCTGAAGTTTTACATGCCAGTATTTGATGTATATCTATGCATATGGAGATTGGTATATAACAAGATCCCTAGATGATATTAGATGTACGTATTTCATGCAAGCAAGACACATACCATGTATCCCCAATCCTGAGTGGCAAGAGTTTTGTTCTTGGTTTACTCTTTACAGATTTCTTTTTCTGGCCAATAGTTGGATGAAGTACAATCTTTTATAAATTATATATGATGCAAATATGTTTTTACTAAGCTCTAATTCAGCTGCTGCCTACTAGGAGATACGGCTTTCTCTTCTTTTTACCCTAACTTTTTAGGCTTCTTTTCTTTTCTTCTCTTCTCTTCATCTCTAGATTACCATAGTCAATTTAAAATTGACCTTTGTTTAGAATATCCAAAATCTATTATTCCTTTCACTGTTTTCATAATTTTCTTTGGTCTTCTCCCTCTCTAGAAACCTCTAACTTGAATTGTTTTATTTGTGGAACTTATCATACAAAATGTGAGTGACACAAGCCATACAGTGATTATTTTGCTGTGTCCAACTGAAGTTATAAGACAAGGAAATTTGTAATGTACATTTTGGCTACTAATGTTGACAATAACTGAAAGACTTCTATGCCTTGTAAAGAAACAACCAAGAATGTGATTATAGTAATAATGCCTTTTTAAGTGCAAGAACAATCAACTTAAAAGATTACTCAATCCTGTATCTAATAGGCTAATACATCTTAAATCCGTGATATAAACTTAATTTACTCTGACCGGTGTAGTCTCTAGATTTCTTGTTGCTTGTCTTGGTAAATATATAAACTTATTACTCTCTCATCATGTCCTATGATTGTTTCCTAACATCCAAGCCTAGGGCCAGTGCTAATCATCATAAAACATGGCTGTACTTGACCAGGAGCAAGATGATTGTCAGATCTTTGCACTGGCAAGTGAATGTTAGAATTAACATTCTTTTAGCTTCTACTGAGTGTACAAAACCATGAAGTCACAAGGCCATAACAACAGAAAGAGAAGATCATTTATACCCATATCCATTTTTATTCATTTGTGTTCTGACATCTTAAAATGGATGCAGGTACTAATGGTAACTGGGCTGGCAATATCTGGTAAGAAGCCTCTTGTGCACACAGACTCTCTTGGCATTTATATCTCACTTTGTTATGGAACTAGCAAAATCTGCCTATCAAAGGAAAGGTGAAAGTAACAATAAGTTTGAGTTGCAGGTAGTAAGTACATCACACAAATCCACATTTATACAAGAATTTCCTCTGTTCTCATATGAAATACATAAAGCTTAACCACCCAATCTCTTTGAAATCCCTATTTAGGTCAGTACTATAGAGGCTCAATTTTGACAATTCCCACAATTAATCATTATGTCCTGTATGCTCATGTAGTTATTGATCTTCATTTGTTGGCATATTGTCATTTTGGTTTCCATGCAGAATGGTGATTGTTTCCATTAGTTACTTGTTCCTATAACCATTTGAATCCTTTTGTGATCCTTGTCATACACGACTTTGTCCACTCCAGTGGAACTGAAAAAGAAACAACTTAGTCGATAAAAGAAACAACTATAACATAGCTTGTCATCTGATTAGTTATGTATTTCCCCGTTTTTTCCTTGTTCTTTTGCAGCTATCCTTATGGTATGTGTCACGAGAGAAACGCATGCATATTTGGATAAGGCATTGGTTGAGAATACAGTGGTAGAGAACATCCTAATCATCACGACGCCACCATCGTCACCTCCACCGCCACCACCGGTGTCACCCGAGTCACCCTTGCACCTACAGCAACCTCTTATGATCAAGATGGACACTTCAAATGTCGATCGCGTGAAATAATTTCTTTCTTTTTCTTTTTGTTTTTCTTAGTGTAAATCATTCCCCCATCATTTTCTTGGGGCCCTCATTAAAGCTAGCCTTGGTTTTCAAGGAACCACCATAGCTCTAAAGCAGCAGCAGATACATGCTGCTATTTCTTTGTTAGATAACATAGGTTCTTATCTAACGTAACTCTTAACTTGGCCACATGTATTAATGTTTTACCGACACTATTAATGCAATTAACATCTCCTCCACGGCTTCCTCCAATATTTTTTTTGGGCCACTTGATATGGATATCTTTGTAACATACAGCTGTTGTAACAGCAACATATGCATGCATATATTGGGTTGTGGTCAGACGTTTCCGCTTGTGTTATGATTAATACATAATTTTCATCCCTTGGAACGATACATATCACTTGCAGACTTGGGATCGACCTGCATAATTTTATCACACATTTATATATAATAGGAAACTCAATAAAGCCAATGTACTTCTTTGATGCATAGAAGTTGGGATTAATCTTCAACAAATACAAAATGTTTATCCATACAAAGTTTTCAAGTTGGCACGAACATTAGAGGAAGAGACCCAAAACAAGAACTACACGAGTCTTAAGCATCTCTTCAAAAGAATCATGAGAAAAAAAGAAAGGAGGAACAAGGTTTTAAAAACAAAAAGGCATCACATATTGGCACAATCTGTACTTCCAACAGAGAACAGGATGATGCTGTAACAATTACAACTGAAAAGGGTTAAAACACAAGACTAAAGAAACTACAGGGAGGGGAGTTTGAAGAAACTAGAGGAAGAAGATGTCTGATCATGGTATATGAATCGCCACCTTCCCAGCCAGTAAGTAGCCTTACGAACAATCCGTCTCTAGAAAGAACTCATAACAGCTGAAGTGCTTGACCTTGAACTTCCACTCTCCCTTGACGGGATCAAAGGACAGGAACTCAGCCCCCTGCTCCTCACCTTTCAGTGTCAGCATCTCCTTGTACTTCTCGACGTTGGGCCCCTCCGTGTACTGCTGCCCTGTCTTCTTGTTCATACACTTGATGTTGAGAAGCGTAACCTCAGCAGGCTTGTTGAGACCCTGCCCAACTGGGGGCTTCTTGCTGTCATCGCTGTAAACAATCACTTCGCGGTGGTTGAACTGGACGATCGACTCTAGGTCAAGCCCCCTCACATCAGTTTCTCCGTAAAACTTGATGCTGCCATAGCCATGCCTACCAACCACAAAATCCTTGACATGGCGGCAGAAGCCTGGCTCAGCGCGCTCTTTTGCAGCGAGTTCCTGGATACGTGGTTCGGTATAGTAATCATCTTGGCGGAGCTTTGGCATTAGCGCCTCGATGTCTGCACCATGCTCGTACACGATTGCAGCCTTGCCAGCCCTGTGTCCCGATATTTTCACATAAGAAGAATCGGTTACCTTCTGCATCTGATCATCACCATTACCATTTTCCTTCTGCAAAGACTTGGAGGCTGAGACGGTCGTGCCAGTATGCTCCCTTGTATGGCCATTCTCAGTAGCATACTCTGCATCATTTCCAGAACAGTAACATAAATGATGGGAAGAATGTTCTACTGGTTGAAGAAATCTTACTAATAAATGGCTGTGATCTGTTCAATCTGCTAGCCTGATAACTTTACAGAACAATTACTTGGGCTCTTACAACTGAAAGTATGCCCAATAGGTCCTGAATATTCACCCAAACTAACATCTCTGGGTGCGAGATTAATTAGCTTCCCAACAGACCAAGGAGTTAAGAGGGACAATGCAAGACAAGACAAATCAAATCATACATGAACCTTCCATGTTTTCTTCTCCTAAAGAGTCTAACAAACATGTTTGTACTACATCTAGAACGATAATGTTTAGCACTAAATTTTCACCCTTTTAACAAATCCACATCAAACATCTGAAAACTGATTTTAAACTAGTAACAAAAAGTGCATTCTCTGCTTGTAAAGAAAGAATTTCAACGTACAAGATTTTCAAAAGAAAAACTGGTGAAATAAACTTACCATCATTATCACCTGCATACGTCTCCTTGAAAGCCGGAGCAGATGGCTCTCCTGATACTTTACCTGGAGAGTATCACAGTAAAAGAAAAAGGTCGGAGAACAAATAGAGTACGCTAACAACCAAACTGACATAAGAATCTAAGCTAAATCATCATAAGTGAGCATGCATTCAGCAAGGTAATATTAATGAACACTTTTAATGTGCAAGACTATCTATCTAAAGAATAACTTGACAGAGATAAGAAAGATCCATGATAAGAAATAATTGGTTTTCAATGAGACAAATTTTACATAGTACACCTCTAAATATGACATCATATTGAGACTAGGAAGTTCCAAGAGAAAGTAGATTAAATATCTCTGTATCATTGTCTTCCTAAGATATCCAACAGAATAAAAGTAGATTAAATGGCAAAGTAGATGACATTATCCAACACAATAAACAACAAGAAATCCAAAATAAGATCTGTTCCTCGGATCAGCATTAGCATGTCATGATTACCATGGTTCAACAACAAGAAATCCAAAATAAGATCTGTTCCTCAGATCAGCATTAGCATGTCATGATTACATGGTTCTCGCATGCCCCCTTCAAACAGCAGTATGGTATCATAAATGTGTTTCCAGTATTCACCAATCATGATGTCACCGTTAGCATTTTTCCACTAAGTGAAGTATCCCATATCAAAATACTATGAAGTTCTAAACACTAAAAAGCTACATCTTATATGGTGTCCCATTCTTGTTAAGAAGGAAAGTTGCCATTGAATATAATTTTGGAATAATGCTGAAGTATGAAATGTTACCGTATCATGTAAATGCTACAAGAACTTAAAAAGGTCTATAAGTCAAATCAACCTTTTTCTTGTGTGAAAAAAAAATAAATCATTGCTAGATTAACTTGTAAACCAACAAATTCTGGAACAAAATCATATACTTAAGAAAATATATTCAAACAGCTAAAATAGAGGAAATAAGAGCTTTTGCATGGATACTGTGTACAAGATAAAAAAAGAGATAATTATCTTCATCAATGGACAGCCCCACAGTATTTGGGTAATCAGCCTATGGTTCTCAAGATCACAAGAACCGATCAAGACTATCTAGGATTAACTGTGACTGCCAGGAGTCAACAAGGATTGACCAACAACCAAATTACAAACATGTGCAACCAGGTCAAGGTCAGTTCTTGGCCAATTCCAATATAGTGATGGATCTCCAGATTCAATGGGTTCTCAATGATGGACCTACGGGACCTGCACTGATTGTTTACTTAGAAACCTTGAAATAAGTGTCATATAATATTGGGTGTATAATTTGGAATATAATAGCAATGCTGCCTTCCGTTGGAAGGACAACAATTTTACCTCTCCACCACAGGAAAAAAAAAATCTTGGCGTATACCTATAGTCAGCATCTTGCACAAAATAATGCCCTACCACATTAACATCATGATTCTGCATTGTAAAGGCCAATATTACCAATAAAACAAGGAAAAGTTCAGATCCAACTAATTCCACCTACATCTCATAGCAGAAGTAACACAAGCTACTCCAATTGTTTGAGGTGGCACATTTCTGGCTCTTGTGCCATCCCAAAATTTCGCAATCTTTGGAAACATTTCAAGTGGATAGAACTGACAAAAGCAGATTCATCTGATGCTAAGACAATGTAATTGCTATGGTTTTGCTCTTCAAAAGCATGCTGGCTTCTTGGTCAAAAACTGCCAAATTCGAAATTTTGCTATATTTGCACCTATTATGATTGCAGGGTTCGTAGGACAAATGAATCATTGATTGATTAACAAATGTGGCCCTTGCTTTTCTTGTTTCTTCTGCTCTAGACTTCCACTTTTCATCCTATAACTTGCTTATGTATAATCTTTTGATTCCGAGCCAAAATTTATCTGAAAAAACCTATAATCACTCTCAAATTTCTTTCTACTTTCCAGATTTAACTCCATTACCAAGGTCTTTTTCTGTAGATCAGTCCCTTTCAAGCATATATGTAAACCACCTTCTTTCTAATGTCTAGCCATAAACATAGGACATCTTGCTGAGTGGTGACCCAGCAATAAGCATAAGGTGTTTAAGGAAATCTCAAAGAACAGAGACCTTACACCAATCAAGGTTGTAACAGGCACCCCAAGCACCAAGGATGCCATAGATTGATATTGTTCATTTAGCGACCTGTTGGCTTGCATAAAAAGGATTCTTAAATGTGAACACCTAATCTTAGATTCTTTTACACTCAAATTTGTTGATTAGTTGGCTTCATTTCTAAATTATTCTTCCCATTTCATTGATCATCTTTTAAGTTATAAAAGCAAAATAGGTTAAATCTAAGCATATATACAGTGATAAACTGGTTTATGCTTTTGCATAATTTACAAGTGATAAGACAAATGGCAGCAAATTTACAACATTCAGCTCTTCTATACTAAAAATAGCTATTTGTCATTAGGAAGCAGCCCAAGCGGTCACTTCGTCTTGGCATTTCGACAATGCCATACTGAAGCTCACCCTCTGTTTTTTGTCCCTCTATAAAGGGTTATATAACAACTTAACTGCAACAAATGGAACTAGCTGCATCATGCAATCTCCTTTCATGATAAGATAGAGCATATAGACAAGCTACGCATTCAAACAAGACTCTTCAACGATATTTAACAATAACTCAAATGTTCAAATCATTTTAAGTGGGACAGGAACATTACCATTTTCGGCAGCTGGGATCGATCCATTTTTCATGATATTTTCCTTTTCCATATTACTTCGTGGAGGCCATTGCTCAATTGGACGAATGATCAGTGCCCTAGGATTTTCTCTGGGGACAAAATATGCATCTGCCTTTGGTGTTGATTGTGTTTCATCATCAGCAAAAAAAGCCACCTGAAAGTAGAAAGATATTGATCCTCAGAAAAAAAAATGATTTATTAAAAGAAGGAATATCTGCAGCTTGCGTCTAATAAAGTTGTAATCAAATTATTATAGCTGTACGCTCTCCCAACAATGATTTCTCACCCTTGGGCCATCATTTTTTGCGGAATATTTCCTTGGAGGTAGTTTGATCCTTCTCTGAGATAAATGTCTTGGAACTAGCATTGAGGAAGCCCTTAATAAAGTAGGCTTGTCAGCAACCTGTTCCCAGCAAAGGTCACAAATTTGATTCACAAAGCATGATAGTTGATAATAGTACAATTAAATGGGAAA